GGAGCTGCAGAAGCTGGCATGGCTGTGTTACAAGCACTTTTGTTAAAACGCTATACCCCCAGATCTGAAAAGGCACTTGAGAACTAGGTACCATTACCTGTTATTTACACTCAGCATATAAGCTAAATTTAGGCATGTGTTTGATCCAATGAGTTACAGTTTACCAATGCTAGTAAATGTAAGAAGATTAAAAGGAATATTTTAATAAGTCAAAGAATGTTAGCACATGTGAAGTACCCTTACCAAAGATGGTGGACTAGCACATGTGGGTACCCTTACTAAATATGGCAGACTAGCACATGTGGGTACCATTACCAAAGATGGAGGAGAGGTTAAAATGGAGACTACCCATGTGTTTGTATTTTTCCAGAGCTGCTGTAATCTGGAGATATAAGTTTTATTGATCTTAAACAGGCATACATGCACACAGAAATATAATTCAAGCACATCGCAAAAATAATTTACACATTCATACTGTGGCCACATCATTTTATCAGACAATAAAGCACTTTTAGAAACCTGTGTCAGTTGGCCAATTTAAAATCCCCGTGTAGTTAGTCCTCTCAGGGAAGCAGAGCAAACAGCTATGGGGGAGGGGCCCATAGTGAGACAAATGGCAAATAGCTTAGAGAAGCAGGGAGGGGGGAGCAGAACAGGGCTGTGGAAGCATGCATTTAGAAACAGTGGGCTTTTGGAGAGTTGTTAATTTACATTAGATAGCCCCAATTTAAAGGGATTTTTTGTAAAAGGCCACCAAAGGGCATTTCAGGAATAGGCTTGGAATTGCAATAAACCTACTTTAAAATCTATGCCCAATTGTGTAGCTCAAGTCTATCACAGCACATCCGCCAGGACAATCCTTGAGCAGAAAAACGGGGCTGTGAAAACTGAATGGCAAGGATCCCTGGTCATTCAATCTTAACCTCAGCGAAAGCTCCGGGTTTTCGCCACATAGGTCAAGCTTTTGGTGCAGACCACAACTTCAGCGAACCTGCAAAGCAAATGAGTTACCCCGGGAACCCTACTGCCATAAGCAAAAAGGGTAATTCACTGAGTGAAGCTGATCTTGTCTGGCAGAGAGGACAGGACTTGAGGGAAGGGTATTTTCCAGCATGTGGCCCTGGGACCTGGGACCTGGGCCCGTGGGCAAAACAGACCCTTTCGGTAGGGAAACTCCATCTGTTAAGAAAAATAACTCCAATTAAAACAGTTTAAACCAAATCAAAAAAGCCGATGCTTAATAAATGCTATGCTCTCAGGTGACTGGGAGCATAATGGGGGGAAGACAGAGATGGAGGGTACAAGCAAAACCTGAAACCCAGCAAGCCTAAATAGCCTGTGGGAGTGGTCCTGACCCTCCCAGGAGAGGGATCAGGGCTTTGCTGGCTTCCCTGGAGGAAGAGTCCAGCCCAAAGCAACTCCCAGGGGGAGGGGGCCTGGATGGAGCTTCCCACTCCATTGGTGCTCAAAGATAGATGCCAGGGACTGGGGTGATGCTTCCAATTATCCCAGACTTCTTGGATATAGGAGTGTTATGGGGCTGGGGTCTCACTTTCAACCAAACAAGAACAAACTTATATTTCTCTAACTTGAAAACTTTCAAAGAAGGAAAGAAGAGATATTTTTGGAATGTCAGGGCAAAGACTTGTGTGCCAATATTCTTAGTTATATCTCCAAGGATATGGGATTTAGTGGTAGACAATGGGGAAATGATAGAGACTTAAATAAAAGCAGATATGAAAAGTTATCTTTTCTGTCACAGCCCATATGTTTATCTCTGTATCCCTTCCATTAATTCTTTGTCATTGTCATCAGTCAAGTTCTTTGGTTTTTCCTCTATAAACTGATTATAATCTCTATATTTGAAGACTACTTATTTAGTCCTCTTACCTCTCAGCACTCCTGTAGTATTACAGGATACTCCTTTCTGTCTGTCCTCTGATTACATAAATTGCGCGCTCTCTCTCTCTCTCTTTCCTTCCCTCCCTCCTTCTCTCATCTTTCCTGAAAATTTTATAAGAGAAATTATGAGTTAATCGTCATTAATATTCCCTTGTTAATCAACATTATCTACATGTTAATTTTGACAGCAGAGAATGGAGTTTAACTTTACTATACTTTCTTTTACAGTCCTTAAAACTGTTCTATTCTCTATATTATTTTGGCCACAATGTCAGTTTTATCCTCCATGCTCCTCTAGAAGTACTAGAATCGTGGTATGTGTCATCCTCTTTTCTTTCTATTTTTACCTCTGTATCACTTTCCGTTGTGTTAATAGACCCTTGGGAGACATGAACAAAAAGCTGCTCATTCCCGATAGGAAGTCGACTATGGATCAAAGCAACAATGTTCCCAAAGTATACCTTGGTGAACCAGTGATTTTGAGGAAGTTTCTTAGAAAAGAAGAAATAACTTTAAAACAGTAGCATTGATAAAAGACCATTCCAGTATAGGTGATGACCCTTGGAAGCTGTAAACAAGACCTCGTTGCATAATTTGCAAGCATGTTGATAGATTGAAGGGCTTCTCTTTCGGGGAGTTCATTTGGTCATAGTCTTTTCTAGGCAGCTTGGTCGCTCTGTTTTTTCCAGGTATCACAGCTGCTCTGAGCATCTTCTAGGTAGTCTCCTAGTCTAAGTGTCTCTTAGCAATTCTTACTACTATATAAGCATGGGGAGAGAAAGGTCTAATGAATTTGGTCATGGATTTCCTGAAAACATTGAGTTGTTGAATTTCTGAGTTTTGATGAAATTGCTTGTGAGCCGGATGCTTCAACTGGCTTTAAGAAGATTCTGAATCTGAAAGAACTTCCCTCAAAGATGAAATGTTTTCTCTTAGAGGTGATTGCTCTGCAACAGTTCCCACACTGCCTCTTGTGTCTTGCAACTGATGCTACAGAGTAATTCCCGGAGTGACTCTGTCAAATTGAAATGAAATTGTGTTTCTTGTCTGCCCAGAAACTTTAACTGCCATCTTCTTTAGACTAGGAGCCAAGCCACTATTGTTATCTACAATGCCATACTTGCTCTGAATTTTCTCTTTAACCTCATTATTTCTGCACTTTGATATGGTCCATGTCATTCTTGTACTATATGCTTTCCTTGTTTACCTTATTCCAATCTACTCTTCACTACAACATAAATGTTGTGAAGTAAATAGTTTGCTTTCTGGTTTGTTTCTTGTCAATTTTGTTCAGTATTTTATTTTCAAAGCCTACGAAAGAACCTAAAACACAGTAGATATAACTAAAGCATTGTGCATTAATTAATCACTTTGTGAATGAGGCTGCCTTCACATTGCCACATTGTAAAGCTTAGGAATGGCTGTATGCATGTGATTTACTTTAGTGATTATAAGTCAGCACTCAGCAGGTGGCCTGAGAGACATCCGTATGTTTATTTTGCCTTACTGTATGACACTGAAATTCTTATAAACTATCACTAACCCTTTTCTGATTTACTAAATGGAAACAATAATAATAATAAGTGACCAAATCACGTAAAGTTTGCTAAAATAAGAAAGTGTTGGTAAACTCTTTGAAAAATCTACAGGAGACTAAGCTAGTATTTTTCCATTGTAGTTACTATGTGTTATTTTTTCTGTCATAATTTTTGTTATTAGTTAATTTTATAAGAAAAGAAGATAAGTTTGAAATTTAAGTTTGAAAATGTTCATTATCATTTCTGTTTTAAAACGCCTTGAAATTTTTACACTAGTCTCTAGTCAATGTTTTTAAAAAATAAAGTGATGCTCAAAATGTTTCAGTGGCTCCTTCATCCTCAGTGTGTCAATATTACATGAGAATTGGCCACTTGACCTCTTTCATTCTGAGACAGACTACTCTGGAATGGAAATATTCTTGCTTATTTTCCTACTTTGTGTCAAAAATATATCATTCTCAGAGGGGGCTGATTAAATTGTTTTATATTGTGTAAAAGAGTTTTTAAAGGTTTTTCCTGAAAGTAATGTCTATTGAAATTTTCTTCATTTATAGCAAGTCCTCCAAGGAAAGTGTTGCCCTTCCTCTCCAATGTCTTTAATCATTTCTCTGGGAAATGCAATCCTTAGAATTTCAAGTTACATGTATGAATCTTAGCACTTTAGAGATTGAGACAGGAAGTCCATGAGCTGAGAGTGGGCTAAGGGATTCATAGTGAGATCTGTCTTTAAACAGAAAATAAAAAAAATTAAAGAAGGATGAAAATGAAGAGGACAAAGAAGGAAAATGAAAGAAAGTATGAGAAAGTAGAATGACCAGAATATTACCCCAAGACTTCTCTTGAATTTATATTATATGGACTATATTATGCAAATTCAGCTAAGTAAAAATTCTCAGTGAGAGAACAAAGTTTTAAAGTAAATGTATTTTGTTCAGATAATCTATGCTTTGATTAGAATTGGTATTTATTAAACTAATGCTACAACTGTAATTAGTGTGATGGGGAATAAATGGATGTTTTAAGTTACAGTGTTCCTTTATTCTTGGGTAGCAAGGTATTAGAACTCATGAAGGAGTCACAATAATATGGGTCTAATTCGTAACAATGTATCTGCAGGATCTTCTGTCCCAGACAAGCAAATCCTCTGTTCCTTGTTGGTCTCTTATGTAAAATGGGGTTTGTACATTTGCTCTACTTTGTATTATTGCAAAAATTATGTTAAATGCAATGGCTATAACATTTTAGCCAGTAGCGATTATATATTTTATCGTATAGTTGGAAAGATACTTTAACACCATAGATACTGAATTTTGATATTGCTGGTATTTTTTTTTAATTTTACTCTCTAAGCATCTGTAATTTTACCGTGACTATCATTCATCTCAATACGTTAAAGCAAATATTTGCCAGTAGGAAAGCCAGTGTTAAAATCAAACTGACCATTGGAGTAAAGGTCCTTTTATTTTCCTGGGTTAATGTACTGAAAACACTAAGTTGCCATTTTCTATTCCATGGCTATCACTTGCAATAATTTTGACCTCTGTTCTCCTCATTTGGCAGGAAATGATTTGTTCCTGGTAGCTGTTCACGAGCTGGGTCATGCTCTCGGGCTGGAGCATTCCAATGACCCCACTGCTATCATGGCGCCATTTTACCAGTACATGGAAACGGACAACTTCAAGCTTCCTAATGACGATTTGCAGGGCATCCAGAAAATATATGGTAGGTCGAACTCTTCCTGCTTCCCTCATTGTATGTGGCAACAGGAAGTCATGTGCATTTTGATTTCCTCGGAGGTAGAGTCTTTAAGCATGTAACACCTAGAAAAACAGAAGAAAAGTGTTCTGCTGTAATGGCAAAATTCCATCATTCAAGTTGTATTGGCAATAGTCCCCCAAATCTTAATATATAGATTACTAGAAAGACTTAATCACGGATGGATCTTTCTTGTTGTGTTTAGTGGAAACTCATATAAATCTCTAATAATATAGACATATAAAATTTAGGTAATAGTATATTAAAATAAATATGTAAACTCATAAAAATAGTTAAAAGTACAAAATGACACATAATATAAGGAAACTTTCCTATCCATTGACAACTGCACTTAGTGCTTAAAATTCCTCTTAATTCTAAGACAAGCTACTTTTGAAGATCAAGAAAATAAGTTATGCAATATAAAAATGTATTTACCTCAAAGGTATAAATACTTAGTCAGTATGAATGTCAACAACAAGGGAAAGGAAGCAAATAAGTGGCCAAGTTTTATCAACAGATTGCATGGATTACACTTCTAATATTCTAAACTACATTTCTGGTTTGGTAGCATTTTTACTTATAGGGTTTATTCAGAAAATGCAAATTAAGAAAAAGGGAGGTTATCGTGCATATTTACTGTGACCATATCTTCCTTAGTACAACCTGTGACCTTTGTAAAGACATTCATTTCACATATTATTAAGATATTGACATTCATAATTTACCGATACCAGGTATTCTTTGCAAGACTACGGAAAGAAAGGTTTCATTTTTATGATGATAAGTGTGTGCTATCAATCTGTCAACATTCTCTATCCAGAAGGGTTGACTTACATCTTAAACAGTTTAATTCATGAGCACATTAGTTTTCAATTTTAATAGTGTAGTCATAAACATTCTCTTAGGATTAAAGTAAATTTGAAATTTGATTGGATATACTGATATATGTCACAGACACAAATCCAAAGAGCTTTGATATTGACAGAGTTATCCATTGCCTGTGTGTCATCAGAAATTCCTCCCACATGTTTAAATCAAAGACATCTCTTTCTCATTACTTCACGAATTAGTAGTCTAGACTGAGGTCTGTGAAAGAATATCCATCCCATATCTAAATATTAAGTGTGAACAACTCTATTTATTAAAGAGAAAACACATCAGTCCCTTGAGGAATGATGGCTAACATCTGTTGCAAATTACATGAGTAAACTTTGGCTCGACTTGGAAGCCTCTATTCAGAAATACTTTACATTAATATTTCACCCCTGGTGTGTTAATCAATGGATACTTTAGATTCAGTATTTAAATGAAACACAACTGTTTTTCAAGACATTTCATTAAAATAAAATAGTGAAATCAGTAAAAATGTATAATAGTTAGCTGGCGACATATGGTAGAATAGCCTCTGATTTGCTAGTGTTTATCTTCGGAAATATTTTCATAGAATCAGCATCTGTCAAAGTCCACTTTCCCCTTGAATGAAGCTCACAGTTATTAGTTCAGTATTTATTCTCATACTTGTATTTTTTCTTCATGAAAAACCTACTTTCGTACTGGTTTTGAGAGCAACTTTCCAATAGTGACCGGGTTAAAATAAAACCAACTAAAAGTTAACAAAGAAATCATAGTACTAGGAGCTGGACTCCAGCCTCACGACTGAGACACCCGTAGTAGGCTTGGGAGGATTTGAGAGTTTGGGTTTTCAAAAATATACGATCTCAACGACCTCTTAGCTTGCCTAGTGTGTGCCCTCTGCTGATCAGCACTTGTTCTCTGTAGTGTATTTTCCAGCACTATTCCAGGTTTAAGTTAGCCAAGCCCTGTCCTCATGTTTTCAAAAGGTCCTCCTGACAAGATCCCTCCACCTACAAGACCTCTACCGACAGTGCCCCCTCACCGATCTGTTCCTCCGGTTGACCCAAGGAAAAATGACAGGCCAAAACCTCCCCGGCCTCCCACTGGCAGGCCTTCCTATCCAGGAGCCAAACCCAACATCTGTGACGGGAACTTCAACACTCTAGCTATTCTTCGACGGGAGATGTTTGTTTTTAAGGTAGGAGACTATGTTTATTTTTTTTAAGCAGAGATAAAGTGTCTAGTGTCGTTTCAGAAAACAAGGTCTCATTCATTCTGAGCCTACCTTCCAAGGCCCTCTCACAGTTAAGAGGTTCAAAAAAAAAAAAAAAAAAAAGCATCCTAAAAAGTACGTGCACAAATGGGCGTAGATGTCTAGCAGAAGATTGCTGTGACATTCTATTTTGGGAAAGCACTTATGTCAGCAGGAGCTGAAATGCCTGGAAATGTGAGGTTGAAGAAGTACTGCATGTTATGAAGAGATAAAATAGCAGAATTTAAATCGTGAACGGGATCTAATAGCCGTGATTTGCTTCCCAGCTTAGCTACTTCCCAGCGTGCTGTTGCTGGGATGTCTTACTATACAAATCTTAAAATGTCTCTGGAATTTCAGCTGACAATTACTACTTTGCTGGGACGGTTTGCTTTCTTCTTTTTGTTGTTGTTGGAAGAGGGTGGGGTTGTCATTGTTTTGGTTTGCTTTTATTCCTTTTTTCAGTTTGTTTGGGGTCTACTGTTATTCACCTTAGTTAAATCACTACAGATCCATGGTTTCCACCTGATGGCACTTGGTGTTTTTCCTTAGCAGACTATTTAATTTATATCTTTAATTATAAGCTATAAAATTACTTTTTTTAGAATTAAAAGATGTACTCGATCAAGTTTTTCTATTCTCAATAACACCAATGAACCGTTCATGAAAAGAGAAAATACATGGTAAATATGAGAAAGTGAATTAATATATGCATGAAAATCTCAGAATTATGTGATTTATTTTGCACAACTGTAAATGATAGTATATATTAAAAATAAACTCAGAAGGAAAAGAAAAAGACAGTCCTGGAATACAAAGTTATAAACCTGTTATAATACTGTGATACCAATATTTATAAATGGCTCTAATTTTAAGTATGTTAATAAGTTTAGATTCAGTTGGTAATGAAAAAGCTTAGTCATGTGTGCATGCACAAATCCATGTATATGTCTGCCATGGCTACTGGTCAATGATTCCCAAAGTTACTCTTCATAATTCCTCATTCACTGTAGCAACCAATTGAAAAGAAAATACAATATATTTATTCTATATGACTAAGATTTTGTTGTTACTGCCTTTGCTAAGTTTCCAGTGTGATATTAGAATTTTAAAATAGCCATGTTTGACCAACATTATCTAATAAAAGAGAATCATGTGTTCTTATTTTTGGTGAACACGAGTTAATACTTAGGGAAATAGTATCCTGCTTATATAGACTCTCTTAATAAGTAAAGATATATTTCAAAAATATAGCTTTTAATAATTTTAGAAGGCAAAACATTTTATTTTCTATATTTGAAAATAGAATCAGGGTTTGTTTTTATATGCATAAGACAAGCATGTTTTCTCTAAAAATATCATTTTCTCAAACATGAATAATTTATTAATTATACATGTATAATTTATAGAACGTACAATTACTTAACTAGATGCCACTATTCAATTTCAAGTATGTTAATAATCTCAGATGCAACTGGTAAAGAAAAAACTTACTTTAATTATGTATGCATGCACGCATCTGCACGTGTGTGTCTACCATTGCTCTTGGGTGATGAATCCCAAAGTTACTCTTCATAATTCACAGTTGCTTTGCAGCTGAGTCCCAGCAACCAAATGGGAAGAAAATGAAAACAAAATACAACAATTTGTTTATTTTATATGTCCAGGATTTTGTTTTTACTGCCTTGGTTAAGTTTCAACATTGCAATATGATACCTTGATAAAGTAAAATTTTCGTAGTGTCACTATAATCTAAGGATATACTGTGAAATCCACCCTGGCAGAATTCTTTATTGTTTCCGTCTGTGTAAACAGACTGGTCTTTGCGGAAGAGCGTGAGAGCTACATATCTATAATCAAATCAGCTTCTTCTTCGTCCTGCACACTGTGCTATGCAGAGAGTGCACCGGACTAATAAAAAAGTCCTATGGATACTTGTTTCTGGAATCAGGAGTATAAGAAAAAGCTCATAGTTTAGACCCTCTAATGCAAGGCAGTAGTAACTACTTTTGATATCATAAAAGTTAAAGCTCAGCTTCCTTTCCTAATTTAATATATTACTTTAGAACCTTATCAAGCTACTTAAGGAAACAGTTCCTAATATAAATCTGGAATTTTCTTAAATATAACATTATATGAAGGACATTATATTGCCTTTATAACAACTTTCCTAATACTACACACATTACAGCTTCCGTATTTATTGTTTTGTCATAGAACAAGCATGTATGCTTAAGAGAGTCTGTTAGATACTAACAATATGTGAATACAAACAAACTTTTCCATCGGTGCAGAGATTGTATAACTGAAAAAGGTGAACATGCATGTAAATAACATTAAAACAAACACTGCAGTTATAACATTGATCCTAAGAGATAGTACTAGGGTTTAATACAAATGGAAGTTTTATTCACTTAGCATTTTGAGTTAATTTTAATAGCAGAATTATCCAAGATATTGAATAAGTAGGTAGCAGACAGCAGCTTCTACTGAAAAAAATTTGGGCATGAAATTATCTAATATATAGTCCTTAGTATTATAGTCCAGGTGTGAACAGATTTAGTTGAAGGCACATTGGAAGCTTACCTGCTCTTAGTCTTAGTTAATGGCCATTACAGATTACAGATTGGGTAATCCACATGTGCCCAGCTGAATACTGGCACCTATTCACCGTGTCTAAACCCTACAACAACAACTGAATAGCATTTTTTTCTAACTAGAGATGGAAATCCAGAAAACTTGAGCCATTTATTCTCATTCAGTAACTGTAAAGAGCTATTGAACTAGGTGTATTTGATTTCAGACCATTGTGCATCCAACTCACCTTTTCAATTCTATTATCTGAATAATCAGCAAACGTTCTGACACAAATTTGAATTTTATATTTTGAAGTTATAATTGTTGAAGGTGTGTGTGTGTGTGTGTGTGTATGTGTGTGTGTGTGTGTGTGTGACCAGTCTGTGTTGTTTTCCGTGCTGACAATTTAACAGTACATAAAAGAGGTTGGAATCTTATTTCTTAGAGCTTGCATTCAAGTTTTTGAGGTGAACAATCAGGTGAGGGGTATTACGGTTTGCGGGTGAAATGTCCTCTGAGCAGGCTCTTGAGTTTCAATATGTCGCCAGGTGACATATTGCTTTGGGAGGTTGTGAACACCTTACAACTGTGGTCTAACTAGCCAAATATGAGCAGAGGTGAACCTGAAAGGTGGTATTTGCTTCTGGTTTCAACCATGTAATTTCTTCCTGGTTAGTTATAAAGTGAATGAGCTGCCTCTACTGCTGCGAATCCCTCACAGCCATGAAGAGAGCCACAGTGGCATTTCATCTCACCATGATGGATTGCATTCCCAGAAGCCACAAGCCAAAATATGTCTTCCTCCCTTCAGTTGCTTCTGTCAGCTGTCTCCCATAGTGATCAGAAAAGTAATGAATAGAGAAGGCTGTAGCTCCTTGAATGAGTGTTGTGGGCACGCGTGGCAGCCAAAATCTGCTTTGTGAGTGACAGCTGGCCTGTTAATTTCTCCCTCTATGCTTTACCTATTTAATCCAGATGACCTTCATCTTTACATCAGTGTCTGTGTCCTCTCTGTACTTAGCATCCCTGCTTGAAAGTCTCTTCCAGTCTCTCTTTTTTTTTTTCATCTTGGTGTTTTTTTTTCTTTCTTTCTATTTATTTATTTATTTATTTATTTATTTATTTATTAAAGATTTCTGTCTCTTCCCCACCACCACCTCCCCTTTCCCTCCCCCTCCCCCAATCAAGTCCCCCTCCCTCTTCAGCCCAAAGAGCAATCAGGGTTCTCTGCCCTGTGGGAAGTCCAAGGACCACCCACCTCCATCCAGGTCTAGTAAGGTGAGCATCCAAACTGCCTAGGCTCCCACGAAACCAATAGGTACAGTAGGATCAAAAACCCACTGCCATTGTTCTTGAGGTCTCAGTAGTCCTCATTGTCCACTATGTTCAGCGAGACTGGTTTTAACCCAGCTCTACTATGTTTATAGCAGCATTGTTTGTAATAGCCAGAACCTGGAAACAACCTAGATGCCCTTCAATTGAAGAATGGATGAAGAAAGTATGGAATATATACATATTAGAGTACTACTCATCAGTAAAAAACAAGGACTTCTTGAAGTTTGCAGGCAAATGGATGGAAATAGAAAACATCTTCCAGTCTCTTTTAAACTCCTGTTTAAACCATTTCCTGAGAAATGTTTCAGCACTTAAAAGCACTGACTGTTCTTCCTGAGGACCCGGTTCAATTCCCAGCAGCCACATGTCACCTCACAACTGTCTATAACTCTAGTTCCAAGGGACCTGACACGCTCACACCAGTGTACAATGAATAAAATAAATTTTCAAAAAAGTAAATAAATATTCGCCTCTGTAAGCACATGCTTTTTCATATTTTACCCTGTTTATTGTCCTGTCAAATATATTTAGGGATATTTTATTGTTTAATCCTACTCTTAAGTAGCATGATATTTTACTCTTCTTTGACAAAACCTCTATACAAATCAAAGACCACAATATCCATTAATGTTTCCTATCTACTCCCTTAGTTTCAATGTCTGGCGATTTGTCCCATCAAGCCCCAGCTTCTAGTCCCTTTCTAACCCAATGTCTCTGCAGGAAACTCAGATCCTGACTGTCTGCTGTGAAGATTGTTCAAATTGCTTGTATACCTGATCTGTGCATCTTTATAGTGCACTGTCTCTAATGATTTGTCTTCGTTGCATACTTTTAAGTAGATGATAGCCTTGCTCAGAGCCACAGTTAGACAGTTAATTTATACACCAATGGTCACCAATAACAAGCAGAAATCTCAGTGTAGCAACAAGCTGAAGGCAGTTCATACCATAGGTATGAAAAACAATAAAATAATAAATGATTCGTGCATATTCCAGGGATCACACTCAGGTGGTTCTCTGGATTACGAGCAAGTA